ATTAAAAAATTATAGAGAGAAATTTCAATACATACTATTAAAAATTTGGTTGATAATATACTACAATAAATTTGAACAGTTATTGAAGCAAATGGAGACCAGATTAGTACTGATTAATTAGTACAAAATTTATTTTATATGTCATTTTTAATAAATATTTAATAAATTATTTAATTAAATTTTAAAATTTTAAATGATTTATTGAGCCAAAAGCGTTTGAAGACTTTTAGCGACTCTTTGTATTTAGATTTAGTCAAATTTATAAAAAACTTTTTTATTTACATCTTAAATTTTTTACAATTTTAGAATCATTATTTAAAATTATACTTGCTTCAAAATTTCTTTATATAAGTTTTGAAAGATTAATACCTATTAGATTTTATTTGAGAAATTTATATCTACCTTTAATAAAAAATGCTAAATATTTAACTTATTAGCTTTTATTAAATAAATTAGCTAATAACTACTTTAAGTTTATATTTCAATATATTAATATTCTATTCTATTTCTTCTTAAATATAATCTGAAAGTAATTTTCTATTTGTATTTAACACTTTTAATACTTTAATCTACAAATATTAATATATCTATTATTTATCTATAGTAAATATAATAAAAAAGTCACAGTTAAGATTGCTTATCTAAATTAATTTTAAATTTAATAAAATGTTAAATATTAATTTTACTAATTTTTATTAAAGTTTAATATAGTTTCATATTTTATAAGTTTTAATATAAATTTATCATTTTTTGAATTTTGCTAAATTTTATCTTTTATCATTTAAATAACTTGCAAAATTTTTAGGTTTTATTTAATAACCTTAATTATAATTAATTATAATTATATATTGTTTATTTATTACTAATATAACTAATTATTATATTCTTTTTAATTATAATATTTAGTATTATAAGAAATTAATAATAATAATATAATAAAATAATAATTTATAATGTGATTTTTTTAAATAAATAATTTTATATAGTATAATTTATTTTTTACCAAATAAAAATAAAAATAAATTTATAATTTAAAAAAATTAATATTTATTTTAAATTTATTATAACTTTAATTCATTTATAATGTTTTATAATAAAAATAATAGATTAATAATATAATAATAATATAAATAACAAAATAAAATATTTTTAAATTTATAAAATAAATAAATATTTAAAATTTATAAAAATTATAATTAAATTAATAATAATACGTAATTTTTAGTTTATTTAATTAATAAATCTAAAATTTAATAATTTAAAATTAATATCAATTTACATTTAATAATATTATAATAAGTTGAAAATTTTTTTTTAAAATAAAAAATAAAAAATTCAAAGTTTGTTATTTAATAAAATAAAATTTTTATAAATATAAAATGAATATATTAAATATTATTTTTTATTATAAAAAAAAAAAATAAGTTTTAAAAGAATTTTTTATATTTTAAACTTAAAATAATAAAACTAAAATAATTAAAATAAATATTAAGAAATTAATCTATAATTTATTAAAATATAATTTACTTAATTTTAAATTTTATATATTTATAACTTTTATAAATTAATTATAATTAATTTTAAAAATTCTATTAAAAACTTTAATTAGTTTTTATTTTTAATTTATATCAAATTATAATAAACTAATTTATTTATATCATCTGAATCTAATCTGAATTTAATTAGATTAAATTTTAATTCAGATGAATCTGATTTAATCTAATTTCAGATTAGATCAGATTTTTAAAATGATTATATAAAATCCTATTTATTACAAATAATTTTAAGTATAGTTTTAGGGCTAGGTAAGGTTTAATATAAAATAACTAGTTCTTTTTATAAAAAATAATATAATCAATAAAATAATGAACGAAATGTACGTAAAATTTAGCAATTTAAAAAATTCGATGATAAATTAGGAATCATTTTTGAAGGTAAACTGTTTAACTTTATTAAGGATTATACCAATACCTATTACATAAATAACAATTAAAAAATATCACGTTTTAAAAACTTGGAAGCAAATGTAACAATCAAAGGCTTAAATTAAATGATTTATTAAATTGTACTTTTTATTTATTTATTTTTTTTTTTTATTAATAAAATATGTTCAAAATATGGAAATTAATATTCAAACGAAATTTTCTTGATTCTTCGGAATTAAAATTTTTTAACAATTAAAACATTGAAAAATAATAAATAAATAATCTATGCAACCATTACATGAACAACACAAAATAACCTAACATAAATATAATTAATTCAATAAATAATAAAATATGTCATAATTAATATTAACAATTAAATTCCAAAATTCGTAAAATGATTAAAATCACGCTTCTACAGTATCGACAACAGCTTTGCTTTTATGAGAAGCCTTTGCACGCTGGTAAAATTCTTGTAATACTTTTTGTGGTATACGATTTAACATTTCCTTAGGGAAAATACGAAGAATCGACCAAGCGTAATCTAAAGATTCATAAATTGTTCTCGATTCATATGCACCTATAATAAAGAGTTAATTAGCAAAAGGAAAAAAAAGAATAATTATTAAATAAATAATTGATTATTTTTTTTTTTTACCTTGGGCAATGTATGTCTTTTCGAACTTTTCTAAGAATTCGAGAGAAAGCTTATCTTCTTGATTCAAGGCTTCTTCACCAACGACAGCTTTCATGGCAGCAGCATCACGACCAATAGCATATTTAGCATACTATACAATTTATAGTATTTCAATTAATGAAGCAAAAATCTTTAATAAATCAATAAAACCAAAAGATATATTTCGCAATATCCGCCTACCAATTGATTTGAGACATCACCATGATCTTTCCTTGTCATGCCTTCACCAATAGCAGATTTCATCAATCGAGAGAGTGAAGGCAACACATTAATAGGTGGATAAATTTGACGATTATGCAATTGACGGTCAACGAAGATTTGACCTTCTGTAATATAACCCGTCAAATCCGGAATAGGATGAGTAATATCTATAATAAATTAAAAAAAAAAAAAAGAGTTATAACATAAATTAAGTTATATTCATAGAAATTATTTAGTATAAATTAAACAATCGAACTTACCATCATTTGGCATAGTTAAAATGGGGATTTGTGTGATGCTGCCGTTCCTTCCTTCGACACGTCCTGCACGTTCATAAATTGTAGACAAATCGGTGTACATATAACCTGGATAACCACGACGACCTGGTACTTCTTCACGCGCAGCAGAGACCTGAAAAAGATGAAATGATAAATATTATGAGAGTCTCCACAACAAAGTTTGAATAAAGTAATTATTTACCTCACGTAAAGCATCAGCATATGAACTCATATCTGTCAAAATAACTAAAACGTGCTTTTCGAGTTGATAAGCATAATATTCTGCAGTTGAAAGAGCTAATCGTGGTGTAACAATACGTTCGATGCTAAAGTTATATATTACTATATGTAAGTATAGTAAAATTTGTTTCAAAAAACAATCAATATTTAAATAAACAACATACGTTGGATCATTAGCTAGATTTAAAAACAGAGTGACTCTTTCGATAGAACCATTTTCCTCAAAATCTTGTTTGAAGAAACGCGCTGTTTCCATATTAACACCCATAGCCGCAAATACAATTGAGAAATTATCCTCATGGTCATCAAAAACTGCCTTGTCAACTTTCTTGACAAGACCAGCTTGACGACAAATTTGAGCAGCAATCTAAAGAATGATGATCCCAATTAGCATCTTTATTTTTAAAAAAATTATTAAAAAAATTAAATATTCAAGAATTTTAGCACTTTACTTCATTATGTGGTAAACCAGCTGCAGAAAAAATTGGAATTTTTTGACCACGGGCAATTGAATTCATAGTATCTATAGCTGAAATACCAGTTTGAATCATTTCTTCCGGATAAATACGTGAAAACGGATTGATTGGTGACCCTAAAAAATTACATTACATGTTTAATAAATAAGAGATAAACAAGCTAATATTAAGATACGTTTTACCCTTACCATTGATATCTAAAAAGTCTTCGGCAAACACCTTTGGACCTTTATCGATCGCTTTACCAGATCCGTTGAATATACGACCCAACATATCTTCAGAGACTGGAATTTTAAGAGTATCGCCTGTAAATTCTACATGAGTTGCTTTGGCATCAACGCCAGATGTCCCTTCAAAAACCTATTAGACATTATACGAAAGGTTTAAGAATAAACCAATATTATGGTTTTAAAGATTATTCATGACTCACTTGTACTACAGCTCTCTTTCCTTGAACTTCTAAAACTTGACCAGCGCGACGAGAACCATCAGGTAAAGTCAAATTTACAATTTCGGCATATTTTGGAAACTTTTGTAAAAGAGTATAAATACAAATTTGTTTAGTATAAAATCATAAACTTAAAATGTATTAAAAAAAATTACCTTAACGTTATCTAATACTACGAGAGGACCATTTACACTGGCAACCGTTCGATAATCTAATTTCACAAAAGAATGCTATGAAATGTCAGTTATAATCATAAAGTGAATTCATTAAGCGGTTTCTTTTTTTTTTTTTATGAAACTGGTATTATTCCAGCAAAATAAAAAGCAACAGCCAAAGGTATATATATTAACCTAATGGTTTTTAATACAACAAACGAAATACAAGTAAAAAAACAACCTATACGAGGTTTAATGGAATAGTTTCTTGTAACGGCAGCGGCATTTAGTTGAAATGCTTGGTTTTGGTCCATTATGTGTACGTTAGATTGAAGAATAGGAGGAAAGTAAGAAAGGCTGAAGACAAATTCTTGAGGTATTTAAGTTGATTGAACTGATCAAGTATTGATCTGTTTGAATAGATATAATTCGTACTTAGGGATTTTGTTTCTACCTTGCATATCAGATATGATCAGATTATCATATTATCATTTGATCAGAAAGATGAAAAGCGTGTAACTTTGCTTTTATTATGAGATTGGCTGATGCCGACGTCAAATTTATTCAAAAAAAAAAAGATATGGAACAATATTCTTATGAAATACTGTCAACTTATGGAGAAGGCACTTTCGGCGTTGTGTACAAAGCGAGACAAAAGCCATCAAAAAAATTAGTAGCAATAAAAAAAAGTATCGAAGTTAGATACGAAAGACCAGTTCATGAAAGAGTTGAAAACGAGTGTCGTGTTTTGGATATATTAAAACATGAAAATGTAAGAAGGAATTAATTTTCTTAGAATATTTACACATATAGCTAAATTGTATGTTAATTTAGATTATATCCCTTATTCCTTGTGACGAAACTTCACGACGTTTATCGCCAACATTATCCCGTTTTAATGTACAACTAGGCATAAATTCTCTAATATTTCCATTCTGTCCCTTTACTTTAAGAACATTACTTGATGAATACACGCTATCTTTATCGGAAATTAAATCGTGTATTTGGATGATACTAAATGGAGTTACACATATACATGAATGTAAAGTAATACATCGAGACTTATCACCAAAGAATATTTTAATAAGTGATTCTGGAGTAATTAAAATCGGTGATTTTGATGATGCATGGATAGAATCAAATAGTAACAATGAAAAAAGGGGAGAAATGAGATTCGAAATAGGAACAAGGTTTGTTTGTTCAAAATAAAATATTTTATATGTTGTCAATTCATTTTTTATTTGAAATTTACTCTCTTTATTAAAGGATTTATCGCGCGCCAGAACTCCTTTTTTCTTCTGGCAATTATTCATATGCAGTTGATTTATGGTCCCTTGGATGCATATTTGCTGAATTTTTTACCGAAAATGTGGGATATCCACTGTTTGATGGTGGAAGCGATATTGAACAATTGTGTAAAATATTTCGAATATTAGGTGTGGTTAATGAATTGAATTGGCCGGTAAGTATAGTATAAGTATAGTTCTGATATTAAGTTTATTAAGATTATTTAATAATGATTTTTTATTAATATTACATAGGAAGTTATTGAATTTCCTGATTACGGAAAGTTTAAGTTTGTTGAAAGTGATTCTGTTGGATTGACAATAAAACATTTGCCTCATGCAAATAAAGAAATTATAGATTTTATTGCGAAATTTTTAAGATATCCTATGAATGGGAGAATGATAGCACAAGAAGTAATTAAAATTCCTTTTTCAATTTACCATTGAAATATTTAATATTAATAACTTTTTTTTTCAATTTTTAGGCATTACAGGATCCTCTTTTTAAATCAGATGATTTTTCAAAATTTTATATTAATATTTCTTCCTTACAGAAAAAAAAATAATTCATCATTAATATAATAATCTTTAATAAGTTATAAAAAATTAAACTAAAATATAAAAATAATTAGTAATAATAGTTTTTATTAAATATTATAATAATATATATATATATATAATAAATAATACAAACAATATAATTTTTAAAATAAACAAGTTAAAATTATTTGAATATATTTTTTTATTAATAAATTTTTTAATTTAATTATGAAAAGTCAATAAATATATTATTTTTATATATAATTTAAAACATTATATAAATATTTAAAATTAAAAGTAATTTATAAAAATATAATAATTTAATCTGAAACAAAGTGAAGGATTATATATATATATGTTTAAGATTACATAAAATATTTCATTATTCACCTGCTCAATAATTAAGTTGATGCTAATTGGCTTTTGTAATTATACATAAAATCTAGATAAAGTTTCAAACTTAATAATGGTATCCATTTTCTAGTATTAGGTAAAGTGATAAAAAATGTCCTATTATCTGTCCACTTAATTATTAAGTCAACGTAGATTGATTAATTTTATGTTAAAAATAATTACATATAATTCATACATTTGATACTATAATTTAAATATTATCACTCTAATCATATAATATAAATTATGTAAATATTGATTGACATTTTATATAAAATTCTAAGTTAAGTCATGTTTAGATTATATTAATATTTTTTCTTCTTTTTGTTCTTTTTTTTAAACGTTTTAAAATATACTCTTTTTTATTTCTTAATTATTTTAAAGTATATTTCTTATTTTTATACTTATTTTACAAAATTTAAATAAAGTTTGTATTATCACATAACTATAATATACATGATTATTATATTTCAAAAATGAAAAACAATTAAAGTATCTTAAAAAAACTATTTTAATACTAACATTATTAAAATATCTAATAATTAATTTGTTTTTTAAAAAAAAATTTTATAATAATTGAAAAAATATAAATATAGCTGAAAAATAATTTAGATTAATATAATAATCTTATAATTGTTTACTTTATCTTATAATTATAAAACTTAATATTATAAATAATGAAATTTTATAGATATTAAAAAAAAAAATTATTCTTACAGGATCTATGTTTAAATCAAAATTAAAAGATTTAAATTTAACAAAATATGCTTTAATAATTTTTTCTATAAAACTATCTATTAGAATTATAGATGCCTGCTGAAACCTTCTTAAAATAATTTTATCATACGCTTTTCTATATTTTTAATATAGTTTTAATAGTTTTAATTTTCATCATATCAAAAAGATTTTGTCATATCTTTTATTATAATTTTAATATAGTTTTGTCTAAGTTTCGATTGTTATTAAAGAGTTTCATCCCTCATCTATAATTAAAATTTATTTTGATTCTTGAGAAATTGTTGAAAAAATATGAATAATAGAATAGTTTATAATAAAATATTATAGAGTTGAGTATCATAAGAATTATACAGTTAAAAAATGATCATTAATTTGAAAAAAAAATAAAAAAAATATATACAGTCAATTTTTATTATAACGAACTCTATATCCTAAACCTCAACTTCGCTATAATATTATAGTAAAGATTTTAAGAAATTTGATTGGCTAATTTGCTATAACAAGAGTTGACTGTATCTATTAAAGCTAATTATATTAAATAATAGTACAATAAAGGTTTAAAAAGATAAATTATAAATGGTATATTAATTTAAATAATTCTGAATATACTAGTTATATGCTTATAACTTTTATTTCTCTTAAATATAATCATAAAATTAATATTAATAATATAAGATTTACTATAGTATTTAAAAAATTTGATGAAAATATAATAAAATAAATCTAATATATAGTAATATATAATTATTATGTCATATATAACATAAAGAATTTACTTCAACTATTATTTTTAATCAATTATTTCTCACATAAAATCAATTCAAAAAATTAAGCATAAAAAAAAGTTAATGAATTTGATACTTTTCATTTATTAAAATTCCTTTTTAAAAAATAAACTTACCATATTTATTCAATTATTGATTAATATAAATAATAATTGATTATATAGTATATTTTGAATAATAGCAAACTAATTATATTATAATCTCATTATTTTAATGTTATTTCTATTATAATATTTTAAATACAATTACCTATATTATTATTTATTCTTATTGATAATAAAAGTAAATTCTATTTAGATATACAGATTTCTTAAATAATAAACTTAAGAAAATTATGAGTAAATTTTATAATAAATATTAAATATAACTAGTTCTAAATTGCAATAGATATAGCATATAATATTAATATAAAAATATATATCATATATATTATATTTGATATTTATAACAAAACTTATTAAAATAGCTTAAATTATATCTTAATACTATAAATTTTAAGAAATTTATCAATGAGTTTGAAAGATTAAAATTTATTATATATTGATATTTTTGAGTAATAATTTCAAATTTTACTAGAAAAATATCCTAATGCATATGACTATTTGCAAAGTTCTATTTATTTAACTTAATAATTATAACTTATTCATTTATAAACAAAATTTTTATTATTAAAATGCAATTAATATAACATATTAAATAAATTAATGTATTTATTCACAAAATAGTTAATTCTAATTCAAGTATAACTAATATTATTAAAGTTTTTAACTTATAAACACAAAAAGAATCTTTAAATATAAGTTTTATATTATAGAAAAATAAAATATTAATATATTATCAGCTGTTTATTAAAGAATATTTATTTAGCAATATATTGAAAACTAAATTTTTTATTACAAATTATTGATATTTTATTAATGTAATGAAATAAAAATTGATGTTATTATTAATTTTAATAAGAATTAATTAGTATATTTAATGTTTTAATTATAGATATCTGCCAAAACCTTCTTAAAATAATTTTGTCATATCCTTTTCTATATTTTAATATAGTTTTAACAGTTTTAATTTTTGTCGTATCAAAAGGATTTTGTCATATCCCTTATTATAATTTTAATATAGTTTCATTTAAATTTCGACTGTTATTAAGGAGTTTTATCTCTCATCATTAGTTTTAATATTTTAAGTTAAAGTTTATTAGAATTTGTTAAAAATTATTAAAATTGTTAAAATTCGTTAGAAATTAATAATGATAAAACTTTAAAATTTATTAAAGATTACAAAATTTATTAGAATTTATTAGAAATTATTAAAGTTTATTAAAGTTTACTAAAATTTGTTAAGAATTATTAGAAATTATTTAGAATTATTAAAAATCATTAAGAATGTAAAGAATTATTAAGATTTATTAAGAATCATCAGAGATTGTTAAATTTTAATAGGAATTGTTACAATTTATTAATATTTACTTATTTTTTTAAAATCGGAAAGATATATCTGTACATATTAATAATAATAATAAAATAAATAAATTTAACAAGAAATAAAAGATAATATTATATTATTAATGAAGTTGAATTTAATTATTATTATTATTATTAATATATATATTTACTTTAAGATATTAATACTTATGATAGAAAAATGATCATTATGATTAAAGATTTTATAATTTTTAATAAACTTATTTAAAAGTATTAATAAATTCTATTTTAATAAATATAATTAAAGAAATTTAATAGATTACTTCTTATATAGCATTAAATTCATATCAATATAATATTATTTTTAATATTAACATTATTTATATATATGTTTACTTTTAGTATTATATATAATTATTTACTAGTATTACTTTAAGTTAATATTAGAGTATCTGAATATATTATTTATATAATATTAATTCTAATAAAATAATTTCAAAATGATTTATAAAAAACTTAATTATATAAAAACCTTGATTAGATTTTTAATAAACTATTTATTAAAGTATCTTCTTAAAAGCATCAAAATATTAATAATAGACAAAATTTTTCTAATTATTATAATAATATTTAAGAGGCTAAAATTTAATGTTATATATAAAAAAAGGTTGAATATAATAGATTTATGAGTAATTTTTAAGAAGGTTTTAAACTATTTAATAAAGAATGATAACTAAAATAATTTAAATAAAATTATTTTCTAGAAAGAAAAAAAAAGAAGCTGAAGTCTAAATAGTAAATATTAAAAATAAAAACTTAAATAAAATTGTAAAATAAGATGATAATTGTATATATAATACTAATAATATTAAAGATTCAATAATATATTAAGGTAATGATAAACTTATTATTAAATACTTAAAAGCTTTTAAGAAAAAAATAGTAAAATGAATACTAATTAAAAATGCAATCTTGATAATATAATATAACATTAAAATTATATCATATTATAAATATATTTTAAACATACTAAATAATCATAAAAATAAGTATCACATGATATATATAAATTTATTAATACCGTATAGCACTGACATTAGTACCCCTTTATAAAATATCCCTCTTGAATAGTAACAGATACTATTCAATCACCAAAAATAAAATTTTTGATTAATACTGGAATACTAATAAATTAACCAATTAAATTAATAAATATGTTAATTAAATTTACCACAACAATGTCGATCAAATTTATCATAACGATGTTGATCAATTTGATCAATTGTAATATATTAAACATAAAAATTAAAATTTATTATTATATTTTATACTTTATCAATATTAAATATCATTATTTATTAAGTATATATAATTATTATTTAAATTTATTCATTATCATAATTTCTCTCCTCATAATGATTATCATTAATATCATTACTCCTATTATTTTCATTAATATCATCTAAAATTTCTACTTCATCATTTGATTTTGCTTGTTTAAGATGTTCATAATTAAAAATCCAATTATCTTCTGTTCCATCACGTTTATTAGAAATATCACAACATTTAAAAGATCTTTGGATTAAACTAATATTAACTGCATTCCATGATCTATTAATTCAATCTATAACAGTTTCATAAGATAATCTTTTGATTCTACTAGCAGGGGTTAAATAAATGATAATA